GCGTGATGGGGCGCGCGCGGAGCTGTTCGTGCTCGGTGGGCACCTTGACGAGCCAGGTGAGGAAGCAGCGGTCCTCGATGAGCGGCGACCACTGGCTGGTATCCCAGATGACGTCCTTGGAGTTGGACATGGCTGCGCACGGCTGGCGGCAGAGCAGCACGACGACGGTCTCGCTCTTTGCGGGGATGAAGCCGAGGAGGAAGACGTTCTTGGCGCCACAGTTGTAGCATTCGGGCGTGGTCTCACCGAGGGGCGACTCTACGTGAAGGCAGACCTCCTTATGTTTTGCACGGACGAGGTGGTTGATAATGTGCGAGCCCGAGGTGGAGCCGCGGGAGTTGCAGAACCACTTGTTGCAGACGAGGCACTTGACGACGCAAGCGGGGTTGAAGATGCCGCAGTAGGCGCAAGCGTGTTCGGGCAGAGGCTGGAGCGAAGACGAGGCCGCCGCCGACTCTTGTCCGAAAGCATCCGAGTCGGCGTGAGCTGCGCTGTGGGACGAGGTGAGATGGGCGGCGTGGCTGGCGTCGAGCGCATGCGCATCCGACTTGGGAAGCCGGGTGGAGTGCGGATGAGCGTGCGAGCGCGTCGGGTCGATGTCGTGCTCGGTGAGGTGGAGATCGCTGATGGCTTCGAGATCGAGGTCGAGGTCGATGTCCTTGGTTCTGCGCTGGTCGGTGCGTGGCTTGGAGTGCTTGTGGCCATTGGCACGGACGGAGGAGCGCGAGGAGGCGTCTGTATACGAGTAGTCGGAGCTGGTGGCGCCGTAGGCAGAGGCGCCATCAAAGTGGTCGAAGCTGTCAAGCTCTGACATGGCTGAGTGGTCGATGCGAGTCGACGGCCGACGCTGGGGACTGCTTCAGGGCATGTGGAGAAGTGGCAGGATGCGGCGGGGCAACCGAGCGGGGTGTCGTGGGCAAGCGAGAGGCTCGATGCTGATACAGCTGGTGGAGCGCCGAGGAGGTGGGGCGTGTGTGCAGCCGGCAGAGAAGGACGAGGGGCCGTGCTGGTTGATGAAGTGGAAGAGCGGCGGGTGGAGAGCCAAAAAAGTGTTGGTCTGCGAAAGCTCAGTCGAGGCGGAGGAAAGTTTAATGGCGCAAGCCCCACCCATGCTTTGTCAGCATGATCAATCGTTGCCAGATGGAAAGCTGTTAGAAGGACAAAGTCAAACAACGTGACGCGTTGGAAAAACGCACACGGCTGTCGGCGATGACCGGCGTTGAGAGCCAAAGGCACATGCTGAGCCGGCTGCTTTCGGCAAGAGGCATGGCGTCGTGAGTGGTTACCGTTAGGTCGGCGTCGCATGTGACGTTGGTGGCTTTACTGTAGCTGCTGCGGCCAGGCACTGGTGAAGTTGAGTGTAGGTGTTGAACGGTATGCTGGGCAGCGCTCTATCGTTGGAGCATGTCATTTCGCTGTGACATCAAGCCGGGACCTGCTTCGAGGCTGAGCTTCTTGCTGGCTCGATCAGAGTTGGTGCTAGGCTAATGCTCGAGATCGAGGCTGGCAGTGCGTGCATTGCGAGCATTGCGAGCATTGCATGTTGCGAGGCGTCGACGGTGCAACCGGCCACTCGAGGCACCCAGCACGCGGTGCTCGGCGAGATAGGGGGAGGGGAAGCATCTTGGCTCGAGCCGTCCATGCTACCGAGGCACGGAGCCATGCCGACACAGGCTCAAGCGCACCAGCCCTCGAATCAGAGGATTAAGTTAGCTTGGGCTTTCACATCCACCAGCAACGTTCGATATTTTCCGAAATGAGCCTCTTTGCCAATCTGAGCGTCGGACCCTGCTCGGAGTCTGGCGGGAGCGTTGGCGAAGAGCAGAACGGCGGAGAAGCCGGACGGGGAAGGACGCAGCATGTCTCGGACGAATCGCCACTCGAGCTGCAGAAGGAAGCTGGTCGGGTGATGGAAGGGTCTGGCCCGCACGGGTTCATGCGCGCAGGGCCAAGCTGGGCCTGTATGGAGCGGGGCGTCGAAAGACGTGCAGGTTTTTCACCCTCCCATGAAAGTCCGCCGATGCCGGTGCATACAGTATTTGCCCGCGACTCCTTCTGCATGACTGCCGGCCGGCCAGCTCGAGGCCGGCCAGCTCTAAATTCAGCGTCCGACCTCGTCGAGCATCCAACCGATTTGTGTGCCTTGATAAGGTGACTGACCCGGGCGTGCACATCGATACGGCTTCTCGACTTTGTTTTCTGTTGCACGGTCCCGCGGAGGTCCCCATCGGAAGCGTCCCGAGCAAGGCCTCAAGGCGGACTGCTCAACGAGGCCTTCGAAGCGGAGCTTTGGGAGAAAAACAAAAAGGCGCCTGTGATGGATGGAGTCGCTCCGTCGGATGCTTGGCTTGAGCCGACCTGCAAAAGCACGGCTGGGTGGATGCGATTTCGCAGCGGCTCATTGCATGCCGGAGCACCGCCAGAACGGCTGGTAGCTGTACAAGCGTCCACCGGCATCTGCGTGCACAACCGAGCTCTTTCTTGCGGGGGGATCAGGAGGATGCCATGCCATGCCGCACCCCGCTTGGCTCGCTAGTGCGTGCATGAGCTTGAAGCGAGGGCGGGGCGTAGGGAATACTTTTTATATCGAAAAACATAAGAAGTGTTTGTCTCGTGTAAATTGGCCGTGACGGGGAGACAGACGCGTTGGTGTTGTGCCGATGAGGTGCAGGTGTTGGTTGCGTTGCGCCGAGGACGCGCAGTCGACTTGTCTGTTTTAGTGCGCTCCGCTGTCACCACTCTGCGCGGCACTCTTGGCTCTTGGCTCTTGGCTCTGGCTTTGGCGCGGCGCCGTGTCATCGGTCAGGTCACTTTGAGCCTCTTCATCACCGGCTACAGCCAGCCAGCCAGCTTGCCAGCTTGCCAGCTTACCAGCTTGGCCGGCCAAGCCCCAACGCCATCGCTTCATGTAGACGTTAATGCGTTGGCTAAAAGCGTTGCCTCGGCAACCGTTCCTCCTCGCCAGTGTCTGTGTGTATGTGCTTGTCTCTGCAGCCTGTAGCTTAGCCTGTGCATCGTATGCAACTCCTGACACTCCGCTTACCGTAGCATCCCCCTCTCGCTCTTGCCACTTTTGACTCTCTACACGGCAACTGAGCAAGCTCGCCGAGGCACACTCTGCATGCTGTGCCGTGCGGTCCCTGCATAATTATACTCGACTTCGAGCTGCGTTCGCCGTGCGTATCGACACCGTCTGCACGTAGCGGAGCTTGTAGGCGTCGCATCGCTTCGCCTCTCCATCTCGCTCCTGCCAACCTCGCTCTCGGCTCGGGTCCTTAGCCGTGGCCTCCCCCGCCAAGCTCGCCCTAACCTCCTTTCCACCATCCCCACTTCGCCTCCGCTCCCCACTACAGCAGCACGCGGTCCGTCCACGCCAACCAGGTTTGCCGGCATACCTCTTCTCCCTTCTCCCTTCTCCCGCGTCCATCCTCGCCCTGTTTCTCCGCTCGCCCCGAACCCCTGCTGCTGTAGCAAAAGCTGACTGCACTCCTTGTCTGCTGGTCAGACAACTTGCCCGCCTCTCTGCTCCTCATCCCCTTCTTGTTCATATAAACACGAGCTCTCTGGTCAGCGCTCTCGAACCTTGACCCCTCTTAAGATCAAGAAAACCTTTCATCCCGATCCCGCTGGTCCGGCCACTCCATCCGAACCGTCCGTCTGTTCCATCTAGGCCCTGCTAGCAAGGCTTCCGTCAGCTGGCGCAAACATGATGCTCCACTTTTCCCTTCTCCCGACCATCCTCTCCGCCCTCGCCCTCGTGTCGCAGCGGGCTGCGGCTGCACCCTCCCCCATCGGTGCCTTTGCACCAGTTGGCAACGATACCCGCCCCGTCATCCGTGCCAATGAAGCTGGTGTGCTTCAAGATTCCCTCCTCGACGAACGCGGACAGCTCCTCGAGAACCCTCGCATCGTCCTCCAAGAACGTCAGAACCCAGGCTTCGCCTATGGAAGCCAAAAGGTACGTCACAATTCCCAATTGACTCGACGCGACGCAGATCCCGAATGCTCACACGCACTCTTGCTTGCATCTGCGTCGCAACAGGTGCGCGGTGTCAACATCGGCGGCTGGCTCGTCGCCGAGCCGTGGATCACGCCCAGTCTCTTCGACAACACCGGCGACTCTCGCGTGATTGACGAGTGGACGTTTGGCCAGTACGCAAGCAACGCCTACGGCCGTCTCTCGCGCCATTGGTCCACCTTCTACACCGAGGCCGACTTTGCTGCCATCGCCGGTGCCGGCCTCAATCACGTTCGCATCCCCATCGGCTACTGGGCCTTTGACACCTCGGCCGGCGAGCCCTACGTGCGCTCCAACCAGGCCGACTATCTCGAACGCGCCGTCCAGTGGTCGCGCAAGTACGGCCTCAAGGTCATCATCGACCTCCACGGCGCACCCGGCTCGCAGAACGGCTTTGACAACTCGGG